AAGATGTGTAAGCATACAAAGATTGGTAGCGCTAGGTCAATTAGGGGCCGAGTTAGAGAGCGGAAGGGAAATATGATCAAGGTCAAGGTAAAGGTCAAATAAAGGTCGCAGTGACCTGGTTTTGGTACGCTGCTCACCTTCTCCCCAAGATGTGTAAGTGCATACCAAGTTTGGTAGCGCTAGGTCAATTAGGGGCCGAGTTAGAGCGCGGAAGGCAAATGTGATCAAGGTCAAGGTAAAGGTCAAATAAAGGTCGCAGTGACCTGGTTTTGGTACGCTGCGCACCTTCTCCTCAAGATGTGTAAGTATACCAAGTTTGGTAGCGCTAGGTCAATTAGTGGCTGATTAGAGAGCGGAAGGGAGATATGATCAAGGTCAAGGTAAAGGTCAAATAAAGGTCGCGATGACCTGGTTTTGGTACGCTGCTCACCACCTTTCCAAGATGTGTAAGTATACCAAGTTTGGTAGCGCTAGGTCAATTAGGGGCCTGAGTTAGAGAGCGGAAGGGAGATATGATCAAGGTCAAGGTAAAGGTCAAATAAAGGTCGCAGTGACCTGGTTTTGGTACGCTGCGCACCTTCTCCCCAAGATGTGTAAGTACACCAAGTTTGGTAGCGCTAGGTCAATTAGGGGCCGAGTTAGAGAGCGGAAGGGAAATATGATCAAGGTCAAGGTAAAGGTCAAATAAAGGTCGCAGTGACCTGGTTTTGGTACGCTGCTCACCTTCTCCCCAAGATGTGTAAGTATACCAAGTTTGGTCACGCTAGGTCAATTAGGGGTCGAGTTAAAGAGCGGAAGGGAAATTCTCTGCAGCGGACCGAGCGGTGGCGGCGGCGGCTGGGGAGACATGAAACCATAGTATCCCCGCCGACTTCGTCGCGGGGGATACAATAACACATCTGCTATATACAATCTAATATACATCTGCCACATTCACGATTGCATCTGCAATCATAACCAATATACGAATGCTCTTCTAGTTGCCAATTGAATCACAAGACACTAGCTAGCCCACCTAACTATTTACATCGAACACGCAATTATAAAGCATGATTAGGTGTAGTCACATGTCCACACAAAACATCAAGCCACATTTATTTGCCTGGCAAAACAGTTTCTACTACATCGCATGACTAGCAGAGACAGGCTATGTACCATCAAACCAACAGGTAGTTGCATGAGGAAGCACAACACGAAGCTCTAGATGGGCGACACATCTATTATTGTACCTCTGGCTCAGCAACTGCAGGTACAACAGCAACTGGAGCCTGACGCTCAGGCGTTTCCAGCCTCTCAACATTTTCCAGTGTTGCCACAATCTTGATTCCTCTATCAGTGAACACCTTGTCCGCCTCTTGGTCAACAACGAGGAAGGAAGCTTGCAGAGGTCTCTGCTTGACCAGCTCTATAACCTCAGCATGGGTCTTGCCCTCCACAGCCATATCATTGACCTCAATAACCCGGTCACCTTCCCTCAGCCCACCAGCCTCTGCTGGACTGTCCTCATCAACATTGTCAATGCACTCCTCATCTGTAGACCGATGACGTGCCAAGTGGAATCCATATCCGTCAAAGTCCGGCCACTTGCGTATGGTGCAGTGCCTAATGTGAGGTAGGTCCTCAGACTTAAGCGATAAAAACATGATGAATGAAAATCACTCTACAACGAACATACAGCTTGCATATCGGGAACGCAGGTCGGTACAAATAAGTAGCTAGGCATGAAATAAGGCCAACACGTGTAAGATCCTCGCAGAACACGACTATGACTCGATAAATCAATAGTCCACTCGGTTGGTAATTTACACAAATTTCATAGAGTATGGCAAGATTCTTCCATCGGACAATGTACCTCAGGTTCTGCTGCAACTTCAGCCGCTTTCGCTTCCCTAATGGGAGTTTCCAGCTTCTCAACATTCTTCAGTGTGGCCACGATCTTGATTCCTCGAGTCGTGAACAACTGGTCAGCTTCTGGGTCAACAACGAGGAAGGAAGCTTGCAGAGGTCTCTGCTTGACAAATGCTATAACCTCAGTATGGGTCTTGCCCTCCACGACCTCGTCATTGATCTCAGTGACCCGGTCACCTTCCCTAAGACCACCAGCCTCTGCTGGACTGCCTTCATCAACACCACCAATAAATGTGTGCTGCTTCGGCACGTCATAATGAAGAGCAAATCCATAGCCATCGTAGTCTGGCCACTTTCGAATGATGCATAACCTCACAGGTGGGATATCGTCCTTTATTAAGAGTAACCACAACTTTAATATGCTGCATTGCAAAGTAAACTAAGCAGATATTGTTTTATAGACACCTGTGATGAAAGACAATGTAGGATAATAGCAAGAAAATAATCCATGTGGCAGAAAATAATCATAGAAACAACTAACAATATACATGTAAGCATACTTTTGCATGACTTAAAATTGTAGACTTTATCATCCTACAGTAATAGTACACAATTAGTTTTCCACACTGAAATATTAACAATATACTTTTTGCATTGTGGAACAACACTTTTAGTTTACAACTATAAAGTGACTGATTGAAATAAACATTGTAGCATACAACAAGATGAAACGTTTTTGTTGATTAGAGCATAACATTCATGGAACAATGAACAGCAATTGTCACAGCTAAACACGATGTAAGTAAATACTGCACGCTAACACTGACAAGCATTGGCAAGCACGAACATGGATAGCAGCATCAGCTACTGATGATAAGCAGCCCTTACGTCACGCTAAAGAATCCACAATGACTTTCTACATGACAGACAGTAGACAATCCACGGCAGAGACAGACAAACCCAAAGTGATGCCATTGATTATCATCACTAGTCATCTTGCCAAGTCAATATGTGTCCCATGACACACATTGTAGCAAGCATTGCGGTTACCTTCAGTTCGGTTCCGGGCCTTGGTACTGGAGTCTCCAATTTTGTGACATTGTTTAATTGAGACGATATTCGGATGTTACGTGACTTGTAGTATTTATAAGCACTGTCACCAACAACCAGCAGCTCTGCTTGCGTTGGGTTTGAATTCGTGATGTGCACAACGGCCCGCTTATCTTTGGCCTCCACGTTCTGGCCATTAATTGCAATAAGGTGGTCACCGATTCTAACACCACTAGCTCCGGCCGGACTTGATAGGTCTACATGCGAAATAAACTTCAGCGGAGATGTTTTCTCAAACCTCACATTGAAGCCAAAGCCCTGAAAATCTGGCCACTGGTGGATGGTGCACAGTCTCACCTCAGGCATGTCTTTATCCTTGAAAAACATTTCCCATGGAGTCATAAATTCCCTCATACAACGTCAATACAAGGGCCGCTAAAATGTCTATTTTGCTATCGTCAGCAATTAACTCTGACAATCAAAATAAAATAGATATCTAGTTCAATGAAATAATGGATGTTACTTGCGCAATTCTAGTTCATACCTCAAAGGATTTCACATTTCTGCGATGTCACGTTACTCGGATATATCAGATTCAGATATCACTAACGTTATCAAATAGACAAACGTACATTTACATTCCGATGTACCTATCAATATGCCTATTCTATTGTATGACAATTGACAGACTACTTATCAGACCATTACCAAAATTTTTTTGGAACACGTGTGTGTGGTTTGTATCCGGTAGGAAGCACTGCAGAAATATGACTACCTGCCACTTATATCCCTATAGGAAGGGATGAAGGTCCACACGTGTCTAATGCCTCTATTTATTTAAGGTACATATGTGCCATTGCTATGACTGTAAAAAGGGTATTCACACAACTCTATGGAGGATTATATCAACTTGTTTCGTGCAACAAAAACGTTTTGTTTTCATTAATTCTCTAAGACCACCATGGCTTGATGCAGAATGGAAATACGCAAAATACAGGGTGCCATTTCAGGTCTCTCAATCTAAATTTTACTTTGGAATCAAGCTCTCAACGTGAGACTATGCTGGAAGCTTTATGGAGGGTTAGAGTTTCTCTGATTCTCTGAAAGATCAAATATGAGACGTCCACAATATCCTGTAAACCACATACATTGTCATCTTGGCCATTAATCTACACTACAACTTAAATAGATTTTGTAACTAACATAGACGGACGTGTAACATTAAGCGATTTTACAGATACCAGAGTCACACACCACCTGCTGCCCTGCAACAAGCACACATAATACACGTGGGTCTCACGGAAGCACTACTATGTTACCTCCTCAGCTACCTGAGCCTGACGCTCAGGGGTTTCCAGCCTCTCAACATTCTTAAGCGTGGCCACAATCTTGATTCCTCTATTGGTGAACACCTTGTCAGCTTCTTGGTCAACAACGAGGAAGGAAGCTTGCAGAGGTCTCTGCTTGACCAATTCTATAATCTTGTTATGGGTCTTGCCCTCCACAGCCGTATCATTGACCTCAACTACCCGGTCATCTTTCCTAAGACCACCAGCCTCTGCTGGACTTCCTTCATCCACACCTCCAACAAATTCGTTTGTACCATGGTGTGACAAGTGGAATCCATAACCATCAAAGTCCGGCCATTTACGAATCGTGCAGTGTCTAATGTGAGGTGTGTCATCTGACTTCAGTTAAAAACACGAGTATCTTACTCTCCAAATGCAAATAAATACCAATATTTTTAAAACTATGTATGAATGCTTACACATGTCCCTTTAAAACTCTTCACAACAAGACCATGTATGCCTATCCTTGCCAGCAGTATTCAAATACTAGAATCCTAACTAGGATAATGCTAATATATACCAAACATTTACTTATATACTTAACAATTACGACACCACCTATAAAATGAATTATATGAAAATCAATGAAAAATATTTAAATAAATTTTAGTAGGTGTATACAAAAAGCCGCAAACTCACAACTCGTCGAGTAATCTTACCTCGTCTGCAACATCGGGACCGTTGGCTCTCGGCTGCCGTGCCGGTGTCTTGTGATGCGCGACGCTCTTCATCGAGCCCGTTATGGTGATGCCCTTGTCGTTGTAGTAGTCGTAGGTTTCGCGATCGGCCACCAGGAGGCGGGTCTCGTTGGCGTTGGACTTGATGTGCCGTATGATGTCCGCGTGCTCGCGACGCTCCATGTTCTCGTCGTTGACCTCGATGAGGCGGTCGCCTTTCTTCATCGCCGTGAGGTCAGCGGGGCTGCCCTGGTCGACGTCGCCGATGTACTCTGTGCTCGTGTGCTTGTCGTACTGCAGGTTGAAGCCGTACCCGTCAAAGTCCGTCCACTTGACGAGGTGGCAGAGCCTGGGAGAGGGCGCATCGTCATCCACCGACACGGCAGCAATGTGATCGACGACGGCAGCCTACGAAGAACCCATATAACACGTGAAGTTATCAGGAGTGTATAATATAGATCTATATTATACATTCATGAAGTTATGGCATGACATGTTACTAGCCACTGTCAGCCCCATTGCCAGGAATGTGTGGCTTACATCAACATGATTATTGCCAGATATCGATACGACCATCAATTCAATGCCACATAACCCAATATGCATTTCAACTACACCTTAGAAATTACAACATGAAAATGCTAGAGAATGTAATATATACTAAATAATAAATTAATGTATCACATGTATACAGTAAACTGTAAGATTATGGACAAAGTAAAAGAAAACATTTGCATACATATACACGCTCAGGTAGCTCACATAAATGAAAGATACAGCCAATAATGCATATATATATATATATATATATACATACAAGAGCGTATTAAGAAAGGAATTATAGCTTAAGAGAGAATTATACCTTCTTATACGCTCTTGATATTATTATATATATATATATATATATATATATATATATATATAACATGTTAAATACCCAAGTCCATATAAGCTACTGTAACGATACCTACAACAATAATGCAATATAAAAACACAAGTGCCAATACACAAACAGGTGAATAAGGTGCATGGTGTATAATAAACCTTGGAGTTTGTAACCTAGTTAATAACCTGATGACCAGTATTATATCCTGAAGTAATAATTGTACACAGGGAAATAGGTGGGATAGTTGAATGAACAGGTTGATATGGTGTATTTAAGGTAAGGTAAATCAAGGTAGGCAAGCTAGGTTATTGGTAGGTATGGCATAATGTGCCTGTCACCTCTGAAATATATTCTATATGGCATATATATCTTGAGAAAATGTTCAGAACTTCCAGCTAGAAACACCAATTTCAACTTGCTACACTTTCCCTAAAAATAAGAAACTCGGCGTAGTTTGGCAGACAAAAATTTATGTGGTTTGCTTGCAAAACAGCTTGGTGGAAAGGACCCACTGAATGTACCAAATAGAGTATACGAATATGTGTTTATAGATAATGCTAACATTTAATCCTTCTTACCTATTAAATTTAAAACTACTGAAATGCAGGGGTTCCAACATACACAACACTGTGTGCTCAGAAACAGTTCGGTATGTACCTATTTTTACAGCCATACGACATATAGCTCGAAATCTTCATTATGCATTTCGCATTTCGCATTATGCATAGCACCAAACAGTGGTTATTACAATACTTATGTGCAAATTACTGTGCCCATATTCTCCACAATAAACGCCACACTACTCTGTCTAGGAGACATATCTGTAGCTAGTGCAAGGTGCCGTGCACATACATATATACAGGTACGCTGTGCAAGTGTCATGCAGCTATAGTTGACTAATGTGCAAACCATGCAGCTGATGGTTTTGCGCTTACTTCCACCTCACTAGTACTAGTAGGTAAATCATCAGAGTGTCGTTCATCAGCAGCTAGAGGTTCAGATAGTGGATCTGGAATGGTGATCTGACGTTCCGTGGCCTGCTCAATGTCCTGTCCGGCAGTGTGACCATTGGCCTATTCCAGCCACATAAACATACTTTCTACTGTGCTCCTCAGTGTGCTTATATAGTAATGACTGACACTCGTGAATCAAAAGATCAAATGGATGCTAGCAGAACTATACAATGACTGAACGCTAGACTGAATAAATCACACCGTATCAGTCTTGTGAATGTGTAATCTAGATTGGGCCATGGCATAACGTCATGCAAATATATGTAGATGTGAATAGTTCCTACCGCTCTAGAATCCGGGCGTGGAACAGGAGTCTCCATGTACTTTACGTCTCTCAGGCTAGTAGATATCTTGAGAGAGCGCGATTGATAGAAATTGAAAGCTGTAGTATCCACAACCAACAGTCGTGTCTCAGAAGGGTTGAACTTGATCTTCTGGACCACCTAGACAAATATTCACAAATCATAGCTGTACAAAACGCAAGCGTGGATGATAACTCTATAAATTTCAACCACTACCATCACCCCAAAAACAAAATAGGATGGCACTGCGATAATTTCAGTACACTTCTTGACATGTATGTCTAAAAACACGAATTAGAATTATCTCCTGCATGTATAAACTTGTAGTGCATAAAATGTGGAACGTATTGCCCCACATGACAGCCACTAGCATTCTCAGGCTCATCCAATTTGCAGACCGACAAAATAGCTACCAGAAAATAATACAAATATACCAATCAGCAGGCCGGCCCTACCTGCATGTGTGACTCGCCCTCAATGTTATCCCCATTGACAGCAATGATACGGTCTCCTTCCATGATGCCTGCTGTCTCTGCGGGACTGTCCGCATCCACGCTACCGATAAACTCCTGCTGCTTGCTCTGGTCGTATTGCAGGTTGAAGCCATAGCCGTCGTAGTCGTGCCACTTGCGCAGGTGACAGAGCCTCACGGTAGGCATGTCCTCGTTGTCATCCTGAGTCAAAGACCAGTGCTATGAGAGTTGTTGCTTGCCATCTACTGCAGCTAAAATCTCCAAGAGCATTGCTAAAGCAGGGTCATCAACACGATAAATGAAAGTGTCAATGACACTGTACATAGCTCACCTTGGGTGTGATAGAAGAGGGAGGGAGGATATATAAAGCAAGAGTATATATATGGGAGAACTCCCATTACATAGCATATCTCCCATTATATTTATATACTCTTGATTAAATGATGATATATATATGAGTAATTTTTGATGCTAAAATAAATGTTTCAGATCTGTTGGCATACAATCTGATGGCGTTGACCATAGGCAGACACTGAAATGCATCTAGGGGAATTGCCGAAATCTACCTAATTTGCATAATTTAAAAAAAATATCAAAACCTGTGTGATATGTTTTGGGGCCAGTCCTTATTCATTCACGTACCAGAAATGAGCAAAATCCGTTGAACCTGAACTGACTATTTCCATTTTTGAGAAAAAGTGAACGTGGCTCGAAAGTAGGTCGACTGTCGTGCTCCAAAATAGGACGTTCAAACCTCTCCCATAGGAGTAACAACTATATGCAATTTGAAACATGTGGGTCAAACGGTTCCTGAGTTATTGTTGACCGTAGCCAAATGTTGACGGACGGACGGACTGACGACACACCATGGCAATAGCTCATCTTGACGATGTTAAGGCGAGCTAAAAATCGACCCTTTTGCGAGTTTTTTTGTTGGTAGTAGTGCCTTGTACGGAACTCGCAACATTACGTCATGGAGTAAAATTCACCTAGATATGTCTGGTAGTCATATAAACTAATACAGTGTTTCTCCTGCATTGACACAAGCGAGGCAGGCCGCCTCACTCAAATTCTCAGTAGCCACACAGAAATTTGTCCAAAACACTGCCTCCGACGCTGACGAAAATCAGTGTTCTTCCTTAGAACAGTGCTTATAATGCACCAAAATAGCTTAGAATGCACCAAATTGAAACAATTTTGGCAAACATTTTACGGAGCGATGACCTCGGACCGCCCTAGCTGGGCAAACACCTGCGCTGCTCGATTTGCTAGGACCTCAAAACGCGCAAACACACCAAAAAAATTACCACCTCATAGACAGTGCCCTCCAACTAAAAACGTTCACAAGCTATTGTCATTTATAGAAACCATTTAATATTTGGATACTATGTATTGTGACTCTTTAAAATCTTTTACAATGTCTTGTTATTATGTCTTGTTATTACAATGTTTTATTATGTCTTGTTACTATGTATTGTATTGTTATACAATTGTACATAATTGTACATTCAATTGTATATAATTACATGTTTTTATTTTGTTATTGTGACTATCATGAACATGTATGTAATATATAGATCTGTAGGTCTAACACGTTTTCCCACGATTTACAAATCAAAGCATGTGCAATGTAACTTCCTTGACCCAGTTTTGGTCTATATTTATCTTACATCTGTACCAGTATTGGAAATAAGTCTGAAAACTTATCGTCAGTCAGTCTTTCAAGTGATTTCAACATTTTTTATTTCTATAAATGTATATAGAACCAATATGTAGTAAAATTTAAGAAAATCAGCCAGTCCTGCTTAAAAGTTACCCATCCTAAACTGGGGGACTGTTTGATATTTCCAACTCTGCTCTGTGTGTTCTGGTTTAGCATGCACTTGGTCTGGACTAATTTGATGTAGGATCAAATTTTGCAGTCTGTATCCATGTGGTATAAGCTTTATTATTTAGTTTTTGCACTGAAACTGCATTCCTGTTATTTTAATGTTCATCGAGCCTGATAATAAATCCCAGTTTTAAGTCTGTCTGGCAATTTGTTAGCTTTTTAAGTTATTCAAAGTAAGGTTGAATTGCAATAAATAGACATGATTTAAGTTATCAGTTCATTCAGTTGAGTTAAACAGAAACTGACAGTACTCAGTAGTCCACCGGACAAGTTCTTAATGTAACCTACGCATCCGTTAACAAATTTGTCAGGCAATTTCTGCCGGACAATTTGTTAGGCCACAATTAAAAAAATATTTGTTTCCCCTCATCCGACCCAGGCTGAAATGTTTGGGTAGGTAGGTGGGCTTTTTATTTTTTTATTTTTTGAGGGGGGTCTTTTTACAGATTCAGCATGGTGTCTACATGCCCGGGTGTGCTTGTGTTGAGATACCTTTTATGTTGAATGTTTGTTTTGCTTGGTACATATAATGTATTGCTTACAGATTTATATAATGTACAGCGATACAATTTGTAAAAAAAAATGGGAGAGATCACTAAAATTGTTTGAGTCGGCCCCTTTTTGGCGAGCCGGTCGCCCCGTCGGGTGAGGGCAAACAAACAATATTTTTATCATGGCCTTATTTTCTCACACACAGACTATATACTATGTAAAATATATGAAATATAAATGCAATGTCCCCGGCAAACTTTTTTGTTCAAATACATTTTCATTTGGGCATTTTATAGGACGTTATCTGGCTTGGAATTAATAATGCAAAAGTTTGATAACATACCTATATTTCTCAGGGAATTAGCAAGGACCCACATCCTTGCTTATGCCTACGTTTTTTTATAAGAATTTGCTGAAAAATCCATCCCCGTATCTACTCTAGATAGGAAAATACCTGAAGGGAAAAAATCGCTCACATGCCTTTGACCTGTATTTGCCTCACCTATAATGCAAGCATGTACATTTACCATACACCCAAAGTCAACTAACAGTGCGTTGCATATCACATGTATACCAAGTAACCTACTTGGACTATTTGCTGAACTACACTATGCCATATACACACATGGACAGACACGATATAGTTGGTGCATTTGCAATTCACACCTTTAACAAATATACTCTTTTGGACTTGTACACGCGTTGCAGACAATTTAATAGGCTTCAACAATGTACAGTAACAACATTAAATAGTTCGAGTACATAACGCACACGAGTGCAAGCACTGCAATTGAGTAGAATGGCTGCAGTAGTAATAGTTTGTGAGGATGAAGTCTGGAAGAAATATTTCACTTCCGAATCCAAGTGATGTAAGCCTATGTTTATTTGTTTGCTACAGATCTTGGATCTCGCTCACAGTCTACCTACCACCTTCTTCCAGCTGGAACATTAACCCAAGTTATGATGGATATCTGCTTGCCAGGGGCGTGTACAGGATTTGGACCAGGGAGGGGGGTCTAACCGTAACCCAAACTTGCGAGCACGCGTAGGGGGGTCTGGGGGGCCCTCCCCCAGAAAATGTTTAAAATTAGACCACCACAGATGCATTTTCTGTGCGAGCACGGGGGGGGGGGTCCGAACCCCCTGGACCCCCCTCCCTGTACACGCCCCTGCTTGCAATGATATATATGATGAGAATCTAGAAATTGATCAGTTGAACAATTAATACAGGACTTCATGCGTTGCCACACTAACCTTTTTGCATACATAACGTTCCCTTAAATGCTGTATCGTATGATATAGGAATCTTTATAGTGACCTTTTTTAGTATTTCCCTGTTATTTCAATTTATTTGCATAGAGGAATTAATAAACCTAGGATTTTACAGGAACTTCATATTTCAGAAATTCCATGCAGATTCCACACCCCACTTCACATTTTCTACAATTTATCTAAAACTCCTATTTTCATTCAATACCATGGATGGTGACCAGTGTTTGCAACTGTGCTGCGCTAGCACTCGCCCCCTGAAGCCACTGCTGACCTAGCTCTAGAACTATAGCCCTCTGCTCCGCCGCAGGAAGAGCCTGCGGCGGAGCGGAGGGCTATAGTTCTAGAGCTACTGCTGACCCCGCTTTTCTTCTTTACTGCCATTCTATTCTTTCATTAGGTGACAATGTTGATAAAACTGTAGCTCTAGTAGTAGTAACTATAGCCCGCGTACGGTTGCCGCTGGCCACTGTACGCGGGCTATAGATACTAGCGCTAATAAGACTGTAGAAGTGATGAGGAGAATATGAAGGACGATGTAGCTGGATCTATGGAAGTACGGCCACTTGGGTTCAAGGATAGAGAACATGTATCCCAATAAAACCAATGTCATTTACATCAATATAAATATAATATTATATCAATATAATAGGTTAGGGTTATGGTTAGGGTTAGGATTAGGGTTAGGGTTAGAATTAGGGTTAGAATTAGGGTTAGGGTTAGGGTTAGGCACATTGGTTTTATTGGGATACATGTTCTCTATCCTTGGGCCCATACTTGTTTAGGGAATTCAGGCTCATACACAGATGATGGGAGTAGGATTAGAATCGGGCAAAGGTTAGGGGTAATAACGTTGGGGTTAGGATTGTCGGTTCAAGGATAGAGATGATGTCCAGTATGGTGATTGGATAGCATGATGTTAGTTGATAAGATAGGACTGGACATCTTCTCTATCCCTGAGCCCGATTGTCTCTACCTATATAGCCTTTTGAAGTTTTCCTGCAGTAGGGCAAAGAGGGAGGGAGAGCTATTTCATGGTTAACTTATTCAAGTTATTGTGATGCATCATGCATGACGTGTAATGATAATGATGCATGAGGAATTTTTAAACAGCAGTATCACAAGTTCCCGGGGTGAAAATATTACTCAATTTTAACCGGGTTAACAAGACTCATTACCTGGTCACCATGCTTTGATCTGGGAGTTTTTAAGTGGATTACATTCGCGTCGGTGCTCTTAGCGACGACTTTCATTGACTTGCAGTAGTCATCCGCCGCGTCGTCCAGCACAAACAGACGAGTTTCATTCGGAAACTGCTTGATGCGTTCCACCACCTGTTTGTGGTTCTCGTTAGCAATGTTGATACCATTAACCTCAACGATTCTGTCGCCCCCCTTTAGACCGGCAGCCTCCGATGGTGATCCTGGATCCACTTTTCCGATGTACTGGCCCGGTTTGGACTTATCCGCGTGCAGGTTGAAGCCGTATCCATCGAAATCCTCCCACTTCACAACGTGGCACAGGCGAGGAGCAGGTGCGCCCGCTGCATCAGTAGCCATTTCGCCCATTTTCGGATAAGTTTTGTACACACCTAGGAGACGTATGACGAAGAACCTGGATAACACACCTGCCGACGGCGACTGCGGCGTTGAGTCAACTGTTGTGAGGTCACTGATCACGTGTTCAATGTTTTCATAAAGATTTTGACTCGCTCCTGCCATCTGTTGGCAGCAATTGCAGTAATCTCGAAATGTACTCGTTGTGCCATACTATCACCATAGGCCCTATCACTGAGCTTTAAAATTATGTAATAACAGCTCGGTGTTATTTTATACAGCTTATATATGTTATTATAATACAGATCAGTGATAGCCATATATAACATATATACTGGAATAACACACGCACACACGCGCACGGTGACGCAAATAAAATAGCAGGTCAAAAATAAGAACGTGTTTACGAATATTCAGAGGTCCCAAGTTGGGAAAATCCAAAAAAGGGAGCCAGCAATCCAAGAAAGGGAGCACTTGTGATAATGGTCCATCGCCGTTTTTTCGCAGTGCGCAAAAACAGGAAAAAAGTTGTAGCGGGCTGCGATATGTGTTAGTCGCGGCACACCACCATTTTTTATAAAGTATACATGTAAAATAAAATGCAAATTTGTGTTAATTTATGGGTTCACATTTATTTATTATTATACGAGTATATTACTAATTGCATCACATTAATGCTTGCCATTTGTGGCCTTCTATTGTTCGCTGGAATCAAAGTATATCAACAACAACGGCAAATTTAGTAATTTACTGATGTAAATTTTCATATGACTGAAAAATGTTACGACCGGGAGCTTCTGGACTCATTCCGGGGCACCGGGAGCAGCGTGTCATACCGGAAGGATCCCGGTGAGACCGGGACACTTGGGACGTCTGAATATTGTTTAATAGTCGATTACAGTAAATACAGCGGATATGCCACGGAGCCTTCGGCAGATGGGGTCGTTGTCGTATCAGGTACTACAGATATGTACCCGAAGTAGTTTTAGGTTGTTTAGTATTATGTTTATATTTTTATATGAGGTATATGTTTAGGGTTAGGGTTAGGGCTAGGGTTAGGGTTAGGGTTAGGGTACACTCATGTAGTACAAGTCTGGTACACTTTGTGTATACATATATGTACTTCGGGTACATATCTGTAGTACCTGATACGACAACGACCCCTTGAGCTATACTTCGATGCTGCAATTTTTATTAAATACCAGAATATTACTATAGGTGGGCGTGGGAAGAAATAGACAGATCCGATATGTACAAACCTGTCAAAGGAATTGCTAAAAACTATAATTGCGGGATCCACAGTGGCATCAGTTATATCTATAGCCGTGTAGTCAAGTTTAAAAGTGCAGTCTAACCACAACTAGCTCTCATGGTAGGGGGAGGGAAACGAGCCTCAATCACAGGGGAGATACTCTGAGAACATTGCGTCCCAACAAACGGAGTATATTAAAATGCGTTAAATGGCGAAAAATAAAGTATTCGTAGATTAAATGCGTAACTCTAAAACGATTTGTTATTTTTTAATCTATTATTTCTGTGTATTGAATTTGGCAACGACGAATATTTAGACGTTTTACATCGTTGCTACTATAGGCGTCATTGCATTTACCTTTTTTGCGCTCTTGTGTCAAATTCAAGTAAGCCAGACAGACAGACAGATAGATAGATAGACAGACAGACAGACAGACAGACAGACAGACAGACAGAAAGAAAGAAAGAAAGAAAGAAAGATAGATAGATAGATAGATAGATAGATAGATAGATAGATAGATAAATAGATAGATAGATAGATAGGTAGATAGATAGATAGATAGATGCATGCATGCATGCATACATACATACATACATACATACATACATACATACATACATACGTACGTACGTACGTACGCACGCACGCACGCACGCACGCACGCACGCACGCACGCACGCACGCACGCACGCACGCACGCACGCACAGGATCATCAGTTTATATCTATAGCCGTGTAGTCAAGTTTTAAAGTGCAGTCTAACCACAACTAGCTCTACATGGTAGGGGGAGGGAAACGAGGCTAATCACGAGGGGAGATACTCTGAGACATTGCGTCCCAACAACGAGTATATTAAAATGCGTTAAATGGCGAAAATAAAGTATTCGTAGATTAATGCGTAACTCTAAAACGATTTGTATTTTTAATCTATTATTTCTGTGTA